TTCTGGGAGTTGAAGTCCACTCATCTTAAAGTGGCCAAGTTTGGACAACACTGACATAAGATCATCTGAGATTGGGGTGGTTTTTAAGAAGGGACAGGGCAGGCAGGAGAGATCTTGTGTCCACAGGGTGGGGTCAAAAAAGTCAAGATGGCACAGCGTGATGCACATAATAACCAGGTAGAGTGCCAACTGCACCACAATGGCTGCCATTTGAGTTTTTTTACTCTGCTCAGAGGACACCCCGGTCTCTGCCCCAAGGGCTGTGCAATCTAGAAAGATACTTGATGGAAGGGTTGGATGAAATTCATCCGATCTTCGAAAAGAAAAGGGAAGCAATGCGTGTCCATGATGGAAACAAGGACTGCTTGTAAGGATAAAAAGGTACGGAAAGGAATAGCGAATGGGGTCGGCACAGATCAGTTTTATCTCCATTTCCTTTCTTCTTCTTATAAGTTTTATTTCTTTTGAACACTCTTTGGTGGTCCTTTTCTGCATTTTGCAGCAACATTTGTGCAGGGGGTCAAAATGGAGCAGGCAGCGGACACGGCATTGCAATTTGCCCAGAGTCACCCCACAGTGAGACGGGCGGTGACGAATTTGAAATATAAATAAATAAATAAATAAAAATTAGCATTTTACACGTACAAAGGGATGGGGGCTTAGATCGTGACGCCGAGGCCACCATCTTGCCCATGTTGACCCCCACCCCCCAAATTGGGAGATACTGCTGGGGGTTTGCAAATGTGGCTTACCCTGAAAGGGAAGAGGGGATCAGTATGTAAAACTTCCTTTATTTCAGCATAATTGCAATGGGCTGCGAGAATAACCTTGAGGAACAGGAGGAAGAGCTGTAACCAAAATGACGGTCAGATAAGAGAAATCTGAGTCCAGAGCAGGAATGTAATCTGAGAAAGCGACTCAGAAGGGACCCTCCCTAGTTCACTTGAACATAAAGGCAGGGAGGGAGAAGCACATTCAGACTTGCAAGATTCTGTTACTGTAACCTTACAAGAAAAGTCGTATTAGCGTGCGTGACTTTGGTTTCCAAGCTTGGTCTGCCTCGAAGGGCTGACGTTAATTGTCTGCAGCTCTGCTTGAAAGGAACTTCTGCTGTGTTCTAGTTTGGGGGGTTTGCAGCCTAAGAAATTATGGGGTGTGCTTACGAGAGGCAGAGCCCTGCTTGTAACTCTTGGGGTCTTTTCTAGAGTAGAAGAGGTAAACTGGGAAGATTGGAACGAAAAACTCAATGCCCTCAGAGAAGACCCCATGGTGTCCAGCGTTCTGGAGAAGGAGTCATCTGGTAAGAAGGGTGCAACAGCGGTGTCAGGAATCTGATGTCACCCATGTCTACCTTTGGTGACTTTCTAAGTTGTACGTTGGGTTTTATTGAGTGGCACTGAAGGGCCTTCAGGAACACTGTCTTTCATGTGCCAGCAGATGGCAATGTGGCTTCATAAACTGAAAAAGCGTGCCATAGTTGGAGGAATGCTAGGT